CATGACCTAAGTCAGCCCCTCAGCCAACTGAGCCACCCAGGTGCCCCTCTCTTTGTGACTTCTTGCCTGAAGTCTATGATCCCAGTCACATGAGGACAAGGACCACGTCTATCTTCTTCACTCTGTATCCCAAGCACTTAGCATAGGGCCAGATACATCACAGACCATCAAGAAAGAGCCACAGAATGAATGGATGGCAGAACCATTTAGGGGGAATAACACAGATGCCATAGTAGGAAAGCCTTCGATTTTTCTATAATTCTTTTTTAATAGTAGCTTCATTGAGGTGGAATTCACATACCGTAGAATTCACTCATTAACAATCTTGTGGTTTTTAGTACATTGGCAGAAATGCACAACTAGCACCACAATCAATTTTAGAACAATTCAGAAGGAACCCTGCTCTCGGTAGCTGTCACTCTCCATTTTCCTGTATGTTATTTTTAAAAGATAATATAGCCTGGGGTGCCTGGCTGGATCAGTCGGTAAAGCATCCAACTCTTGGCTTCTGCTCAGGTTGTGATCTCAGAGTCGTGGGATGGAGCCCCATGTCAGGCTCCTTGCTCAGCGGGGACTCTGCTTGAGAGTCTCCTCCTCTCCCTCTCCCCTTGCCCTTTCCCTGCTAGAATGTGGGCTCTCTAAAATCAATCAATCACTCTTTGAAAAGGCAGGAAAAAAAAGATAATACAGTCTAACATTTGTACAGTGTTTTGTAGTTAACAGAGTACTTCATGTGGGCTCATTGATTCTTGAACAACTCTGGAGGTGGTCATTGTAGGGCATCTGTCACTGAAGGTACGCTTTAAGTTATGGAGCAAGCCCACCAATCAATAAAAAGTTAAAGCTGAAAGAGGGAGCAGGAGTGGTGGGGGTGACCAAGGGCAAGTAGCTCCTGGCTGTAGACCACTGACTCTGGAAAAGTGCAGGGCTCGGTGCTTCATATTGTTGTCATGTGAACTTAGGGCTCTGCAGTGCACGCTGCCCATGGCATGTTGAGTGTCGACCTACTCACCAATGCGCAAAGTCCATTAGGGGGTACAGAATGTGCACAAATATTGCATAAAGCAAATGGCTTTTGAAATAATAATGAAAGATCTGAATTTGAATCCTTGTTCTGCTATTTACCAAACTCTCAATTTAAGAACCTCCCCAATTTTCAGTTTCTTCATTTTAAAATAATACCCTTTTTGCAAGTTTGTTCTGAGGATTAAATAAATTAGTGTACAGGAAGAAACTGGTACAGTTCCTGGCACTCAATAGATAGTAAAACATTTTATGACTAATGATAAACAGATTCAAAAAAAATAAATTAAAACCCTCCTGGCAGGCAGCCGGGGTGGCTCAGTGGTTTAGCGCCGCCTTCAGCCCAGGGTGTGATCCTGGACACCCGGGATCGAGTCCCACGTTCCCACATGGAGTCCCACATGGAGCCTGCTTCTCCCTCTGCCTGTGTCTCTGCCTCTCTCTTTCTCTCTGTATCTGTCATGAATAAATAAATAAATCTTTAAAAAATTAAAAAAAAAACAAAACCCTCCTGGCAGTAACTATCATTACTGAAAAATGATAACTCATTGCTCTCCAGATTGTAGATAAATGAACACGCTCAAATACTGCTAAGAGGATACATCTTCTGAAAGCAGAAGGTCAATATGATGCAAGAACCATAAGTGCACTTTCCTTGAACTTAGATATTCAATTCTAGAACTGAATCCTAAGGAAATAGTCTGAACTAAGGGAAAAAAAAACAGTGTGTACAAAGTTAACTATGACGGTGTTATTTGCAAGAGTGAAAACACTGGAAACAACTAGTGATGACCCAAGGAATGGTTTGGAATTTAGGGTTATACCAGCAAGGTGGGATATTACATAGCCATTAAAAATGCGGTGACGGGGCACCTGGCTGGCTCATAAGCATGCCACTCTTGATCTCAGGGTTGTCCGTTCAAACCCCACATTGGGCGTAGAGATTACCTAAAAATAAAATCTTAAAAAAAGTGGGATCCCTGGGTGGCGCAGTGGTTTGGCGCCTGCCTTTGGCCCAGGGCGCGATCCTGGAGACCCGGGATCGAATCCCACGTCGGGCTCCCGGTGCATGGAGCCTGCTTCTCCCTCTGCCTGTGTCTCTGCCTCTCTCTCTCTCTCTCTCTCTGTGACTATCATAAATAAATAAAAGTTAAAAAAAAATTTAAAAAAAAATCTTAAAAAAAGTACCATGAAAACCACTTGGGCACAGAGGGACCCATTTGAGCAGACAGCCTGTGATGGAGGGAGTCTGGAAGAGGGTGGAGAGAAAAAAACAAGCAAAATACCTGAGCTACAGCTTTAAAAGGGTAGGCAGCTGCCAGGTAGGGGGAGCCTTATAGATGTTATTCAGGATCTTGGATTTTGTCCTAAGTACAATGGGAAGCCACGGGAGGGTTTTTAAGCAGAGAAATGACATAACCAGAACTGTGGGTTTTAAAAGTTCATTTGTTATAATGTGGAAAACAATTTGGAAAAGTATTTTTAAAAGACAAGTATGCAGGGGAAGTAGTGTGGAGAACGTCTTAGGGGGATGGCATGGTGAGCAAGAGGTTTTCCCTTTGCCAGAAAATCCCCACTCCCGTTGCAACACCACCTTCCTCTCTTATAGATGGAGAGACTAGATCACTTCTCCTGCAGACGGTAGCTGTGTTCTCTGGGAGACACCGTGTCCTGCAGGGGTCGGAGATATTGCGCAGGGGAAAGGGCTTTGGGAGGGATGAGGTCTCACACAGTCGGGGGAGTGTAGGGGAAGGCGTGTTAGCGACGACCATCAGCCACTCCAGCAGGTGATAAACTATCAAAAATAACTTCCTGTTGCTGTTACAGATGTTATAACTTCATTTATCACTGTTCTGATCTCCCCCCAAATCCTGCCTTTGGGGCTGGGGTCTGTTGAGCTCAAAGCAGACAGGAGGACCCTTGTCATGTGGGACTCGGCAGACGCAGCCCAGGCCGGAGCCCGTGCGAGGAACGCGTTCCCAGGGGCCTCCAGGCAGGAGCAGGCTAAGTGCGTTTGTGGGTGAATCCTCAGCTCATCCTCGTGTTTGTGTTTAGATGGGATGTGAGCTGCAGGTGTGCCCTGTGCGTGTGTAACTGAGCACTTGAATTTATTCACTCTCTTATTCATGCCACAAATATTTGTTGAGCCCCTACTATAGATACAGGCAAAGGTCTGGCCACCCAGGACCCAGAGAAGAATAAGACAGAGACCCTCAGCAAGTCTTACTTTGCTGTGTAGAGTCACGAGTGATCTAATCAGAGCCCCTCCTAGTTCTATACCAGGAAAATGCAGTCCAGACCCGCCAAGTGCCTCAGATCTCTGGGGCACTGACGTCCAAGTCAAGTGGACTTTTTATTGTTGCATCACTGTCTAGTGAGCGTGCACACATGAGAACCCCACATACGTCTCGTTCAAAGGGCCTCAATAACTACATGGCACTGTGAGCCTCGGAACGGCGTCATGGAAGGTTCAAGAGTGGTCCACACAGAGGAGCAGAGCGACGTGAAGCTCACACCGCTCTGGCTGCTGCCACAGCTACACCGGGTTCATGTCACACGGTGATGGAAACGTTGAGACTCAGCTTGGTTCCCGTAAGTTGACTGTGGCTTGAGTTAATTACTCAGCGAGCAAGGCCGACCGGGAGCAGAGGGGAGAGTATTTGATATTGGCAGGTGAACCGGGAGGGTGTGGAGAGCCCAGTTAGGAAATCGCTCTTGTGGGCTCCTAAATCTTGAGTGATAGCAGGGCTCTGTGTCCTTAACACAACTTCTGTAAAGGAAAGAAAACGGTAGCTCCAGCCGCAGACTTATTTCCACAGTGAGCTGATGGTACATCAAGAGTCACTGAGCAAGATTCAGCCTAAGGGATGGCTTTCTAGAATAAAAATATAGATGGCTACCATTTGTTGTTTACCCCAGAAAGGATCTTCTGTTAAGTGCTTTGCCTATCTATTTAAACGAACTTAGGAGATTTTTAAAAATTTAAACGAACTTAGGAGATTTTTTAAAAATTAGGTATTTATTATTAACCCAATTTTACAAAGGAAAAACTGAGGATCAGAGAGGTTAAGCAACTTTCCTCAAGCCACACAGCCACCGAGTAATAGAGCAGGGTTTACCCCTGAATATATCCGATTCTGAAGCCATTGTTCTACACTGGTTCTAACTTGTTCTCAACAGGGAGGTGATGTCACAGAGACCTATACATTTCTGCTTTCTTCACTTTATAGCAGGATCATTTTATCCTCCTCATGTCTTCTTCACCCCCAAATTTGAATCCTGGGGCTTTAGCCTGAGACCCACCAAAAGCCTGCAATTGGCCTTCCTTGCCTTCCTGGTGTGATCATATAAACTGCAACAACCGTCTTAGGTTGGCTTCATTTAATGTTTAATGGCAAAGAAATTGTCTTTGGAAAACGATCCTCATCAGCTCCCCAAATCTGTTACACGCATCTTTTAATTTGGGGCCACATCACACGCAGATTCAAAGATGGGCCAGGCTGGAAGGGACCTTTGCTAATATCGAGACACCTGTTTCTTCATTTTATAGAGGAAGAACACGAGTTGTCTGATGGAAAGTGAATTGTTTGAACTCATGCAACAAGTTAATACAAGAGATGGGACTTGAACCCAGGCCTCTTGGCTCCCCCATCAGTGCTCTTTCCATGTTACCAGGCTAAGGGCATATTTGTGGTATTTAAATGTGCGATCACATGGAGATAAAGAGACTACTAATCTCCTCCATCTACGTAAACTGTCTGCAAAGAGGAGCAGGGTAGAGCCCTGCTGAGAGAGATAGAAGGTGTTATCTATTGCTTCACTCTGCTCTACTCAACTGAGCTAGATTATTATCTTCCAAGCAGCATGCCCCCGCCCTTTTGGAAGTGGTGAAACATTTGTGACTGACCACCAATGACTGAGAAGCTTCTGGGTGGGGCTGGGGTGTTGGTGGGGATGATGTTTCCATCGGGACATTGCTGAAGCACAAGCTGGGGTCAGTTAGACCTTGCTCGGGGTCCTGGGGGTAAGTATTGTCTGGGTTGGTAGATTTTTACATTAGTTGGAGGAGTGTGTGTCTGTGAACATATATGCGCAGACGTCTCGGAGGGGATTCTCTGTCTCTGTGTTGGGATTCCAGAGTGTGGAAGTCAATTGTATTTGGCATGGCAGGAGCCTAAGATCGAGCAATTTGTATTTGATGGACATTAGTCTCTTGTTCCTGAGACCTGAGGCCTAAGAAGTATCTACGCTAACCAGCAGTTGTAATCAGGGCTCCGGCTAAAAGGTGCACAGACCTTGGATCCAGACAGAACTAGATCCAAAGAACTCTGTTAAACCTGTGCAAGCCTCAGTTTCTTCATCTGTAAAATGGACATAAAACAAGCCACCTTACAGTGTTGCTATGAGGATTGCAGACCAGTAGTAGATACGGTGCCCAGTGAAGCCCTCTATCAATATAATAGCTATAAATTAATCACTCCTTTTAAGTCGAAGGGAAGCAGATCCCAGGAAACGTCTCTCTGCAGAAGTATTTTCCTTTAGATTTGCTCTGAGTTGCAAAAAACGGGCATATGTGGAAGGGCAAGCCTGGGGTGGCAATTTGAAACATTATGAATGGGAGTCAGAATGCAGGCTGTTGAAGAGGAAAGTTGTGAGACAACAGCGAAGAGTAATAGGTGACCCTTACAGAGAGTTTACCCCCGACAGGAACTGCGCTAAGAACTTTACAGAGATTAATTCATTTTATCCTCACTGCAACCCTGAAAATACCGATGCTATTAATAGCTCCTCTTTACAGTTGAGGAAACTGAGGCACAGAGATGTTAAGTGGCTTGACCGAAGTTAAACAGGGAAAGCAAATCTCTGTTTAGTTAGTGCCGAAGAGTGTGCTTAGAGCCATCCTCTGGGAGTTCAGAAGGCGCAGGGCTCACGGGTGTAGATGAGGCACTCAGGGGAGACTTGGTGATTGGCTGACCTATTTCTTGCTCTGTATATTGACCTTGTTCGAGCTTTGGCAACTCTGCTCAAACCAATATCGTGACTGGGGACGGCTGTGCAATAGGCAGGGTCCAGTGTAAATGAAAATCTGAAAATCTGGGGTTCCTTTTTAAGAAATTATTAAGAATCTAGGGATGCCAGGGTGGCTCAGTCAGTTAAGCATCTGCCTTTGGCTCAGGTCATGGTCCCACGGTCCTGGGATCGAGTCCCACATTGGGCTCCCTGCTTGGTGGAGAGCCTTCTTCTCCCTCTCCTCTCCACTTGCTATCTCAGTCTCTCTCAAATAAATAAGTAAAATCTTAAAAAATAATAAAATAAAGCTGGCAACAGCAGAGTAGTTAACCAATTGAGGGGCCCTTGCATGACCAAACTGCATAGGTTGGGATGCCCATGAAGCTCTGAGACCCAACGATGAGGCAGGAATGGTGTTGGAAGCTTCCGCTGTCTCGATTACCTGCCTTGAAAAACTTTAGGAGGCAGGCATTTGACTCCCCAATTAGCAGAAGAGAAACTGAGATTCAGGACATTAAGTGGCTCCCCCAGGGTTAATGTTTCCTCTAGGTAAATTGATTGAATTGCAACAGAATGTTGCAAAGTGCTTCTCCTACCAAGTATTGTGCCAGGAATTGTGGTGTGTAAAATATGGACAAGACATGGTCTGAGCCACCAAAGCACTCACAAACTGATCGTAATCTGTAGCAGGTGCTTAGCTTCTCTGAAAAATAGCTGGGTGATCTATGAAACAAAATGACTTGGCCCTTTCAATTCACCCGGAGCTTCGTGGGAACCAGCAAAAATGAATCCAGGAATACTGCTTGAGTTGCTCGCCATTCTTTGTATGCTTGCTGATTTAGTTTTAGAACTAAGTTACATTCGGGTTACATTTGTCTATGGTAATTGCTGATAAAAGTGCCTTCCCCAAAATTACGAATCCGAAACTTTGAATGATTTGTTTTCTTCCTTAAAACTTGGCAATGCCTGTTCCTATAAATATGTATTATTAGGGGTGTGGTGTATCTGGTTGAAGCTTAAGTTGTATTTCTGGTTATTTTGAGTCTCTCATCATTGATGCCCATGGTAGACTCAGGGAATTCTAGTACAACAAAATGCCCAAACTAGATCTATTTAGCACACCCGCCCCCGCCTCAGTTTTAGACAGAGAAGTTTAGACAGAGGCTCAGAAAGAAGCAACATACCCAAGGTGGCTGAATTTACAAAGTCACCATGCTGGAAAGTTGATCTGGGTTCTCATTTCACATTCCAGATGTGTCCCAACCACCTGGGGTGAGGCCCCTGCCATGGGGCACTGAAGGGAATCCAGAGACGATTTTTCTGACACCCAGGACAAAGGTGATGCCCTAACTCTCTGCTGTCTCCTTCCCCGTGGTATTTGGCAGACTCCATTCCTCCCTTCTCACTGCTGGATATTTTTACTTTCTCTGTCCCCTGGTGAGTGGACATGGCAACAGTCATGGGAGCAGGGACCATTTAGGACTGAGGACTTCCCAGGGCCATATGCCTTTGTATCTTGGGTTGCTTATACCTCTTATCTGAAAATCCATGGGTGAGCCCAGTTTTTTTGCAGGGCCCTATGGAAATGGGTGCGATTTTACAGTTAAACCAGTTTGTGTTAAGACCTCTGTTTGGGTCTGAGGATCACCATCTGTTGAGCACGTATATAAGCAAGGCACTCGACTAAACTTCTTAAATATTGTATGCAGTATGGTGATGGCTGTGGCCCCAAACAGCCCGGGTTTGAATTCTGTCCTCCTCGTGGGGAATTAAAGCCTGGCTTTCTCCTATGTTACATGGTGAAAATAGTAGCTACCTCATAAGTTTGTTGTTCTGATGATTAAATAAGATAATTTGTAGGGGCACCTGATTTGCGCATCAGTAGAGCACGTGACTCTTGATCCTGTGGTTGAGCCCCACATTGGGCATAGAGCCTACTTTAAGAAAATTTAAAAATAAAAAATAATGAGATAGTTTATGCAACATGTTTTGCATGATGCTGGCATAGAACAAGCACACAACCAACACGTGTGTGTTAAAAAAAAAAAAAAAAAACGAAACAGGTGCTGTCCTCATTTTTCAGATAAAACACTGAGGCCCAGAGAAAGAAAGCAACTAACTCATTACCAGGAAGATCAGAGCTGAAATTCCAAATCCAAGCCATCTGGCCACCAAGTCCCTGCTCCTCACCATCTTCCTGCACTTATTTGTGAGGATGTCTTGCAGCGTATCCAGCGTTCTCGCGCAGTATCTTATTTACGTGTGGCCAAATCTATATCAAACCTTGTTGAAGGCAGTGGCTTCCCCGACAGTCAGGGCTGGCAGACACATTTAGCTGAACTGCTCTTCCCCTACTTCTCCATCCATCCATTGCTTGTTCTTCCAAGATCCTACTCAATGACTCCTCTCTGTGGAGTGGGGATGAATTTCTCCTCCAAGATGGTACATACTATGGATACCATTCCTTCTGATGATTCATCACGCTTTGTTGTGACATCTCTTCTGCTTTTTGATTTTTCACATATTAACATCTTGATTTTCCAAGTATAATGTGAATTCCTGACTGTTCAGGTGGTGTTCTCTCTTTCGTCTTGCCCATCAAACTATTACGCATAAGGACATACATCTAGACCACGCCATATGTATTTGATTGGAACTCACACATTTATCTGATTATCTCAATGTTTTATTAACATGGTGAGATACAATTTAGATGGTAGATAAATTTTTTACGTAGATAAATTTGGTACTATGCTAATTGAGGGGCTCAGAATTTCTGGGCTTGTTTCAATACTCTTAAAATATTTTTTCCTTGATTAGAAAAAAGATACGGTAATTGCAGAAAACTTTGACAATGACAGATAGAATAGTTAAATAAAACACCCATTTTTGTTAACATATAGGTGTATTTTTTTTCTATTTGCTCTTTTTGAACAAAGTACATTTAAATGAAATCCCCAGTTTAATTTCCATATTTACATTCATGAATAAATCTATATTTGATAAGCAAAATTACTGTCAATAAACTATTCTGGATTTGGTGAACTGAATCAGATGACTAGGGGTTATTACTAAACTAATAAAAAAAGTTTAATGACCCAAAGTTTTCTTTTTTGTACAAATTTTCTTTCTTTTTATATTTTTAAAATATGTTTTGTATGTAGCTCAATATACCTGCATGGTACTTCTTCATGGAACAGATTCCTTCCCCAGATTAATTTTTCTCAATATAATTTTAAATGTTGGTGTAATATTCCATTCTATACCCTCACCGTAATTTATGTAACCTTTGTTTTTCAACTAGATTGTTTCCCATTTTCACTTTTATAATCAATAGTGGGTAGGGCTACCATGTGTTAATAGCTTTGGTTCCATTCCAGATTGTTTGTAAATTGTTTGTTCCATTTATCTTTTTACCATTGGGGATGGGAGGGTTTTTCTTAAGAATTTTTGTAAAAAAAAATCTAAGCCTTTTAAAGTTATATATTGCATACATTGGTTCTAACGTTTTTGTCTATTTGCCTTTAAATTTTGTTTATTTGATTTAAATACATGAAATTTTAATATTTTAGAGTAAAATCTATTTTTCCTGTTGCTTTGTTATTTCTTTCATTGTGTGTAAGCTGAGAAAGTTTTCTCAGCTTTTTATTAAGTCTAGGATTTAATAAATGTTATTGAATATATGAATATCCAATCCATTTCCTTCTACTTTTAGTGCCTCAAATTGAATACATTTACTTCTTTAATCCCTTTGGAATTTATTTTGTTATATTATGTCTGGATGCAAGTTTCTTTTTTGTTTTTCTTATAAGTAGCTAATTCATTATTCTGTGTTCAACGTTTCTTAAATGACACTTTCCTTCCACAGCTTTGTGAACCACTTTTGTTACTTATTTATCATACATCCTAGTGACTTTTTTAAAGTCTACACTACCCTTTAGAAGTGGTATGTCAAGGGGCACCCAGGTGGCACAGTTGATTGAGCCACTAACACTAGGTTTGGGCTCAGGTGGTGATCTCAGGGTGGTGAGATGGAGCTCTGTATTTAGCACAGGGTCTGCTTGAGTTTCTCTCTCCCTCTGCCCACTCACCCCAAATAAATAAATCTTAAAAACAAAACAAAACAAAAAAAAAAAACATGGTATGACAGGAACCCACCTGGTCACACAATTCCTTTTCATATGTTGCAGCTCTTCTCAACTGTTATTTTTTTCCCCAGATAACTTTCAGAATTAATTTGGGGTTGTAAAATAATTCTCACTGTAATTTTGATTGGAATTATATAGAACCAACAGATTAATTTCAAAGTGATTTTTTTAGTTTTCTGGATTCCCAATCTGAAGTGTCACGTGTCTATTAATGTCTTTTTTTACATTATTTATTTTTTAAAAGATTTTATTTCTTTTTTCTTTTAAAAAATAATTTATTTATTCATGAGAGATACACAGAGAGAGTGGCAGAGACATAGGCAGAGGGAGAAGTAGACTCCTTGAGGGGAGCCTGATGTGGGACTCGATCCAAGGACTCCCGGAGCACACCCTGAGCTGAACACAGGCGCTCAACCACTGAGCCACCCAGGCGTCCCTAGAGATTTTATTTCTAAGTTTCTGCAACCAACATGGGTTCAAACTCACAATCCTGAGAATGAGAGTCTCATGCTATACTGACTGAGCCAGCCAGGTGCCCCAGTTTTTAGATATCTCAGCACATTTTTATTATTTTCTTCAAATTCTTCTTTTTTAAAAATTTTATTTATTTATTCATGAGAGACACAGAGAGAGAGGCAGAGACACAGGCAGAGGGAGAAGCAGGCTCCATGCAGGGGGCTTGATGCAGAACTCGATCCCAGGACCCTGGGATAATGAGCTGAGCTAAAGGCAGATGCTCAACCACTGAGTCACCCAGGTGCCCCTCTTCAAATTATTCTTAGCTCTATCTGGTGTGATGGCTGCTAAGGCTCCTGGTCCCCACACCCCCTTGCAATTCTGTTTCCTAACTGGTAATTTTAGAATATTTATCATGCTCTCAGGACTTTATTGAGTACTCTCATCAATTTCACTACTTTTTCAACTGATTCTTTGGGGATATTTAGTTATAAAATCACATCTTTTGCAAATAAGGATGATTTGACTTGCCCTTGCCCGAAACCATACCTTTTTTTATTGCTTTCATGTATCCATTAATAGCTCAGGCTCTGGTGCCAACCTGCCTGGGCCCAAAGTCCTATCATTTTGAGCAAGTTATTTAAACTTCTCCATGTCTTAGTTTTGCTCTATATAAAATGGAAATAATAATTATGCTTCAATTTTTAACAAAAGAAAAAGAAAAAAGAATAACTACCTCTTAGGTGGTCCTGAGAATTAAATGAGTTAGGTTTGTAAAAGTGTCACAGAATATGCTCAATAACTATTCCACAACCCTATTATTGTTGTAGGTTTGAGGTTGGAGGAACTTCCAACTTCTCAAAGTCAGAATTTCCAGGATTAATTTTTTTAAATGGTTACAGCACACATGCTTGTTTTCAGATCACCACTAAAACATTTTGCCGCTTGGTAAGATGTTGATTAGGTATAGAAGGGATATTCTTTATTATAGTAATAATTATCAATCACATTCTTATTTCATTAACTTAAAAAATAAGAAATGAGTATTTTATTTCATCAAATGAATCTTGACACTTTAGTGAGATCATCATTTCAAAAACTTGATCTATTGATGCTCTATTCATATTATAAAAGAGGCAGTTCCCTGCAATGATGGAGAGCTGAGCTTGGTTTGAAATTTGGCTCTTCCAGCAGAGGGATGAGGGCAAATTGCTCAACATCCTCAAGCCTCACTGTCTTGTCTAGGAAACAGTGATTAATGTCTATTCTTGCAGAGCAAGAGCATAAAAGAGCATGGTAAATACTCAACACTAGTATTCATTATTGTCATAGTTGATTTCCTGGATATCCCTGGAGTAACTTCTTGATATTATCATATATTTAATCCTGTGTTCATAAGGTGTTCATAAATGACATGATCCTGCAGAGTTTTCCACCTTTTTCTGTGCCCTGGGTCTGTATATATGCCACAAAAATTACATGTTCTTCAAAAGTTTAAAATAATTCACTTCCTAAAACTATTTGGACACCAATTTTGAGTAGATTAAATCCAAAATGCTTTTAATTTCTAAATAAATATCATTTGTTCCACACTTATTACTCTGTGACAAAAGCCATAATAACTACATCACATAGCTCATCTATGTCATCCTCAGAAGCAAGTATCATTTATATTCGTCTTATTCAAACCTGAGAACTAGTTACTATCACCTCCATCTTACAGATAAGAAAACT